TGGGATTGCTGGATCATATGGTAGTTCTATTTGTAGATTTTTGAGGAATCTCCAAATTGTTCTCCACATGGCTGGACTAATTTACATTCCCACAGCAGTGTAAGACAGTTCCCCTTTCACTACAGCCCTTGCCAACACTTATCATTTTTTGTTTTTAAATCTTAGACATTCTGACTGAGGTTAGGTGGTATCTCATTGTTGTATTGATCTGTATTTCCCTTACAATGAGAGATGTTGAGCATTTTTTCATATGCCTTTTGGCTATTCGAATGTCATCCTTAGAGAGTGGTTTTTTCAACTCATTCTCCCATCTGTTGGGTCTGGATATTTGAATGCCTCTCTAGGTTTGTAAAGTTTTCTTCCAGGGTTTCATGGAATAAATTATCAATGCCTTGATTAGTTTCTTCACCTTCTGGGATATTGATTATCTGTATGTTTGGGCATGTAATGGTATCTTGTATTACTCGTATAGTATTCTAATTTTTTCAAGTTATTTCCTAAGACTTTTTGGTGAATTTTCCTAGATCAGATATTCTGTCTTCTACATCTGAGATTCGATCTGCATGTTCTAATCTGCTTTTTATACTTTCAAGGGAGGTTTTGATTTCCTGTATTACAGCCTTCATCTCTAACAGTTCCATTTGATTCTTTTTTTATGGTATGTATTTCCTCTTTCAGATCATGAAACAACTTCCTCACCTCCTGGAACTCATCTCTTTTCTCCTATATCTTCTGGATTTCGTTGTCTCTCCTCTCTTGTAGCTCTATTAGCTTTATCACTATGAATATCCTAAATTCTTTATTTGACATTTTCATGAGTTCAGTTGTACTGTCTGTGGATGATGAAGGGCTGTTCTTTCTCCTTGTGAGAGAGATATTTTATTGATTTCCCATATTTCTTGTGCCTCTGCGGTGGTATATTTCTTGTGCCTCTGCGGTAGTGGTTTCTGGTCATCTGATGGATTATACATTATTTCCTACCTTTTTGGAGTTAATTCTGAGTGTTAGAGGCGTGTGAAAGGAAATGCCCTGCAATTTTTCTGCAGTTCTGTTTCTCTGATCTTCACCAAGAAACCTGTACTTTTGTCAGTACTACTGGATATTACAAAGGCCTCAGAGTTTTAAGGGGATAGGGATACCTGGACTTAGCTGCAGGGTTTAAAGTATTCAGATGTTTTGGCTGTGCACCTAGACACTCAATGTGTGGAAAGTGAGAAGCAAGGTAAGAAAGTCAGGTAAATTAAAGGAAGCAAAGGGAAATACACACACACACAAAAGACAAAACAAAGCAATGAAAATGGGGAAAAAAGTTTTACTTTAAAAAAGGCCAAAAAATGAAAACCATGCAATGTGCTAGCATGCTGTGCAAAAGGGACAGGGCTAGGCCCACCTCAGGTACACATGGATTCCGAAATTAGCAAGAGGTAGGAGAGAACAGTACCTACAGATTAAACACACACACACACACACACTTACATATATATATATATATATATATATATGAGAGAAAATTTTGAGGTAAAGTGAGAGAGAGAGAGAGAGACAGAAGACAGAGATCACCCTACCTGGCTTTTCGCTGGGTGTTGGGCCAGACAGAGAGGTTTAGGGCAAAGGCTTTCCAGTTAAAGGGGCTAGGCACATCTCAGATGCAATTTCTTAAGCTGGATGAGAGGTTATCTATTCTGTTTCTGAAATTCTTTTCTGTCCTTCATTGGGACTGAGAACAGCTGTTCCCTGTCCCTTTTTTCCACTATTTGTGATAGCCTTGACAACTATTTACTTTTCTCTTCAATCTTTTTCAGATCAAATCTTTACATATATGTGTATTTTTAATTTTTTTAATTTTTGGAGAGAGACTTTTGCAGTAAGGCAAAAATATAGTGTGCTCGCCAGAGAGACAGAGAAAGAAAATGAGAAACCATGCACCACGGGGATAGCCACAATGCAGTCCCTTCTCCTCTTGGGATTTTGGGCATGCATGCACATGTGTCCACCATGAGTTTCAAACTCCTAGATCTGGGACTCGAACTGCGGTTGGCCATGTTGGAGTTCAGCAACATAACCATTATGCCCTCTACTGGTCCCAAATCTTTATATTTCGTCTGATCTTTTTTTAACCAGTCCTATTTTACAGGCTTTTGAACATTTTATCCCTGTGGATAAACAAACAAATAATTTTAAAATTCTGTTTTTTATTGGCTTGCTTTATTAGTTTTGAACTGATATCAAGTAATATGTATAAGTTGCATAGGTTCTTATCTATATGTATTCATTCAAGCTATTTCTCCCTTCCATTTCTTTTTGAAATGGACACTTTTATTGCCACCACTCACTCTAAATAATTTTAAATTGACAGGCAAATGAACATAAGGCCATGGGTCATTAGTTAAGCAAACAAGCATTTAGAAGGGAGTACTTATTTATAAGGAATTGTGAAATGTGCTTTTAGTGGCCGCTGGTCATCATTTCAACTTTCTGGCTTCTTAAATGCTTTTTCCCTAAACTTTACAGTAAATGTGTATTTAACTTGTGTTGATCAGATTAAATTTGACCTTAAGCCAGTGTCACTTTTATCTCCTCCATATCTTTTCTTTCTCTACTTTCCTAATCTTTTTGTGTTTTAAGTTTTTGCCTTCAAAAACCTTACATACTCTCACTCTCACTAGAGAAAGAGAGAGGGAAAGTGAAAATCACACTCCTCAGGGGGCAGAGGAGATGACCACAGCACAATCCCTTCTCCTCCATTCTTCTCTTGTGATTTTGGGTGCACAGAGACCCAGCATGATTCTCAAGCTGCCAGGTGTGGGACTTAGTCTGTAGTCAGACATAAGGGAATCCAGTGCCTTAACTACCATGCCACCTGCTGACTCTTCTACTTCCCTAAGCTTTAATGAGGGATTGAAGGTAGGAAGAAGAGAGAACATGTATTTTAGCTACAGGTAGCCTGCAATTCTTAACTAAATGAAGAAATAGAAATATCCTAAATCAAGAACCAAGGTAGAGAGTGGTCAGTCTTGTTATAACTATATCTGTTTCTGAATTACTATCTTCCTCCAAACATTTAAAATAGTTCAGGAGTGTGTTTCTTGTTTATCCAATATACTACCTGACTGGGAAGGTAGATTGGATTAGACATACTTCTGAGACTTTCGTGGAGTTATTTCAACTCAACCCCTAGCCAAAAAGCCTATGGGATATATTTTTATTCACCTTTAATGTAAGTGTTATCACTCATATATTTTTCTATTATGTTACTTTCTTTGTTTTAGTGTGGAACCATCAGAAAATCTGCAATCCCTGATGGAGAAAAATCAGTCCCTGGTAGAGGAAAATGAAAAATTAAGTCGTGGTCTGAGCGAGGCAGCTGGGCAGACAGCCCAAATGTTGGAGAGGATCATTTTGGTGAGGTCTCTATACAAAACTACTAGCAATCTAGACATTTACTAACTTTGGTTTCTGAAATATTTAACATTCCTTTTATTATGAGAGACAAATTATGCAGAAAGAAATGTATTTGTATTACCATATTCTCTGGGAGCCTTTCTGGGTGAATACATAGGCTTGTAATTAAACATACAGAAAAGTGAAAATATACACATCACTAACAGTCTATTGATATGTGAATCCCATTTTAAAATTTTATAAAATACCAGAAAGGAAAGCACCAAGTCCACCATCACCCTAAGTCCTGCCTGATCGTTATCTGTAAAAGCAAGGATGAAGGGACTTCAAAAAGTTCATGGAAAATACAGGAACCAGCAGTTAGTGTAATGGCTATGTTGCTGGACTCCCATGTAGTCGACCGCGGTTCGTGTCCCCAGACCCGGTGACTTAGAACTCACGCTGGGCACATGTGCCTGCGTGCCCAAGATCCCTAGAGGAGACCAAGATCCCGAGAGGAGAATGGAGGAAAAGGGATTGCGGCATGACCATCCCCCCTGGGGGGTGATTTCTCGCTTTCTGTCTCTATGTCTCTGTCTGTCTGGCGAGCGCACGCACCCTATAGCGAAAAACCTCTCAAAAAAAGAAAAGAAAAGTTCATGGAAAATGTGAACTCAAGTATGAGTTTATTCTGTCACATAAAAAATTGAAATCCGTGGGGTTTTTTTCCCAGAATATGCATTTTCTGTGAGTTTTTTTTAAGACCCCTGGTAATTGTTCCCACACTAAAATTTTAGTTTGTCTCTCTTCTAACATTGTCACATGTCATACCCCATCCTAACAGCTGCCATGGTGTCGTACAACACCTGGGAAATTAATTTTAATTCATTTTCCATATGGTTAGTTTCCAAATAGTAGATTACTGTGTAACTGCTTATACCAGTTTTGAATCCTACTACCTGTTGATAGTAACCTCCTGGATCAGTACAAGCTGGCTCTATCACTAATGTTTTTCTACTAGTCCAAATAGAACTCAATCTTTGATGGTACAAATATTGCCAGAGGTAAAAAGAGTTATCACCAAAATGTAATTGAACCTCTGTCACTTATATACTTTCATGCATTCATGTAAGAGTCAAGGCAGGGTAAGTTGCTTAAGGGTTTCTTTAAAGGAAGCCAAAACTTACATCCATTGTATTGTTTATTACTAGCTGATGGGTAAAAATAGGTTGTAGGAGATACAGTTTTTGTCTCCATTGCTGTATTTTATCCCTTTAAAGTAACTCTATAAGCTGTGTTTCATATGTATGTGAGTGTGGCTGATGTAATCACAGTACTTGTTAATCTAGCCACATACCCATTTGACCTTTAAAAGTTGTTACAATGGCTGCCTAATAGGCTTATTATTTAATATGCTGTCATAATTTCATAACAATATTTTTGTCCTATATAAACTTTTCTTCCCAAATCTGTTGCTGCAGCAAGCATGCTATAGATATATTGTGATGGAAATAAAACTGAAAATATCAATCACCCTTCCCAGAACATAGCTGCCTTCTGCTATTTGTTTCTCCACCATTATTCTTGTGCCTTACCCTTTTTCTTGCTTTCTTTGGCTAAAACTAGCCTACTATACCAGATAATGTAACTTCTTAAATCTCAGCTCGAATTTAGTGTGAGGCCCTTTTATGTTTTAAATGCTCTTAAGCTAGGGCTAGAGAACAGTGTAGTATAGGGGGCAATTTTAAGTTATTGTTATCAAGATGATTATTATTACTATTATTATTATTATTTTTGCAAACAGCAGGCAGTAGCATGCCAGTATGTGTTGCTTTTCCCCTAGTTGCAAAGTTCTCTATGAAATTAAGGCTTCACACCCCACTTCATAGTCTGAGCATCATGGCAAGCACAAAACTCAGCTGCTTAAATGCTATTTTTATTAGCTCATGTTGACAGAAGGGCTAATTTTCATGACTGTGTTAAAAAACATATTTCTCACTAAATAACCAAAATCCACTAAATCTTCTATTGATGTTACAGCAAAGGAGTCAGACTCTCTACCTGAGTTTTAATCCATAGGAGGAGAGAGAGCATAATTAGGTGAGGCTATCAGACACTGCTACTGATGATCTCCTGGGTCTTTGTTGCAGACAGAGCAAGCGAATGAGAAAATGAACGCCAAGCTAGAAGAGCTCAGGCGGCATGCGGCGTAAGTTTCCTACCAGATATCTGTTAGCAACCTACATCATCTTAGTATATAGTTATGGATCCTCTGCCCTTTCCAGTATGATTAACCCTTGGGATCTTTTGCTTGAATTTTCAGCTGCAAACTGGATCTTCAAAAGCTAGTAGAGACTTTGGAAGACCAGGAATTAAAAGAAAATGTAGAGATCATTTGTAACCTGCAGCAAGTGATTACCCAGATATCGGTAAGCCAAGTAGGGGCAGTGTAAATAGGCGTATCACTTTCATTTGTTTCTCTTCGTGCATGACAACATTTCTAACCCTGTGGCTTCTGCCAAAACTAGATTGTGACTGGCTTGGGGACAGAGATTGTGGATCATCATTGGATATGATCTAAGTAGTAATATTGTTAAATCAGAACACTCATAGGTTACATATAGAGTGGCACATTAGTATTTTCATAACTTAGTCAAACACCAAAAGCAGGAACATAGCAGTGCAAAATTGCCTAGGTAGCAAGAGCAGCAATCATTGATTTGCTGTCCCTTCAGTTGTAGGCTAACTTAATAAGAGACCTGTACCATACCCCAATTTTAAATAAGATGAATTCTGAAAGATAGCCTAGGACAACTAGGAATGCCATAGCTCTCTTTTATAACCAATAATAATAGGTTTAAATAATCATACTCCCTTAAATTACCATTTTTATTTATTTCTAGAGCTAGTGTGTTTTGGGAGTAGAAGAGGCTGTTCTTTTTCCCAGAAGAAAAATTCTCATAATCCTATTATCTTAAAATCTATTTTTATTTTTAGTATTCCTTCCCTTAGACCTTAGGCATATATACTTTATTTTAAAAAACTGAAATCATAATATAACATACTATGTTTAGGAGTTGTGGTTGATTTTCTTTCATCTACTCTCTCATTTATTATTCCAAAACAGTAATGTGTATGCAAATGCCTAGTGGTAAGTCCTAGCTTGTGGATAGTGGGTTTTTTGTTTGTTTTTGTTTTTTAGGTTTTTGCCATAGGGCACATGTACTCACTGTAGAGAGACAGAGAGAGGAAAAGTAAGAAAGCATCACCCCAGGCGAGATGGCCTCTCTGCAATCCTTTCTCCTCCATCCTCCTCTTGGGATTTTGCGCACACATACACACACAGCTGGAGATGATTTTCAAGCCATCAAGTCCGGGACTTGAACTGTGGTCGACCATGTGGGATCTAACACCTTAACCACCACACCATCTGTTGATCCCCAATCAAAGCAGATAGTCTCTCATCCCTGGTCTTGCCCATTATTTTCTATAGTTGTCAATAGGATAGCATAAACTGATCTACACATAGTTTTACTCTTAGAGAGTAAATAAAGAAACAGTAATACCATATATAACTGTTTGAGAGAAGAATTATGATGGCCATTTCTAAGAAATTAAATAAGTCAACTTCCAAAAGACTATTAGGCAGTGTTTTAGAATAAGTAGTACTATATAAAACATTAGTAGTCTAAGATAACAGTTCTTAATCCAACAAACAGAGTATAAATAACTGACCTTGGTTTAGAGCCAGTTCTGCCACTTACTGGCTGTGTAACCTTGCTAACTACTGTACTGTTAAAAAATAATTTAAGTCACTCAAATAATATTTAAAGGCATTATTCAGCTGATGCACTTGGGGAGCACCTGAATTCCAAGTCAAGTAGGATTGGACTGAAGTTTTATAGGGTGAGAAAGAAGGAGTATTTGACTTTGTGGTTTGACTCAATAGTAGCAGTTTTTGATGTTAATTGCTGTGAAGCTTTTGGTTGTAAGTTGATCCACTCTTTGTACCTCTTCCTCAGAAACATAGTGGGCACATCTAACAGTGGGCTGTTAAGATTGAAATCCTATTGTTATCCCATCCTGATAACAGTCAGATTATTTCTCAAGAGTGTTCCTGTAAGCCTTGTAGTTTTGTCAGTTGGTGAAGGTTTATAGGTGGGAAAGTTGGAAAAGGTGGGAAAGGAGATGAGAATGGAAGGCAAAGAAAACTGGGAACCTTCTTTCATGTCAGTTTTAATATCCTTTTGCATTAGCAATATGAGCAATGTGTGGTGGGAGCACAAAGAAAGGGGTGATTAACTGTTAGTTTCCAGAAGAAACTAGATCCTACATGCCAAAAGGGAAAGTACAATCTATATAGAGGCAAAAGTATATGCAAAAGCATAGAAGTATGAAAGTTTAGAAAATGGTAAAAATAGAATGTATCCAAAAGAATGGCTATCACAAGATTAAGTTTGCCCTCGATAATTCCACATAAATATAAATAAAACATCTAATATATGAAAAACTTATGCAGGCTGCCTCAGAATTAAGATACTCTAGGCTATAGAAATTTATTTGAGCAAAAATTTTAAGCTCTGAAAATAGTGACCCAGGGCACTGTTGTTCATGGCTACCACATTGCTCTTAGAGGATTTCATACCATCTTGTTTCTAGGGCTTTGACTCACATGGGAAAGATGAAGGCAACCCATGGAACCAGATTAATAAAATAAGATAAAGCATCCTCTGTGAGAATCTGGCAATATGACTGGTGCCTGGTGTGCCTGTAGTGGAAGTTGCTAGTGGTGGCTGGCTCAGAAGAGCTCTATAGAACTGCTGTGTCTGCCACTGAAATGCACCTGGCACATGTAGTAGGAGAGTGCTAAAGATTGCCACACCTGATAGAGTCCTGGCTTCCATCCACTGTCACAGTTAGGTAGAGTAAACCTTTTATGCAGAGTTCCTGCTGGACTCTTAAATCAGAGTTCTCCAGGGCTATTGTTGAGAGACCCTCCCAGCTGCATACTTTTTAGAAATACACAACAGTGTATCCTGTGGCTCTTATTAAGACTCACTATAGTGGAAGAAAAATGTTTCAAATGTGTTTGTGCCCTTCATTGTGGATTTAAACTATTAGTAAGTGGAAGGTGAATACACTCTTTTCAGTTATGAAGGCAACCATTGTTTCTAAATATCTTTCTGAGCTTTAAGCAATAAGTGTACCATTTCTTCCTTTAAAATATAATTTTAGCAAATCTCCTTGTTGCAGTTACCTATGAGGAAATTTATTGTAGTCCTTTCAGTTCCCATAAAATCAGAAGCATCTTTTTTTGTTTCCACTCCCTCCTCCAAGACCAGTTCCATAAAAAGCATTTTCGCCTGCCCAGTTAATGGTGTTACCTACAACCTACAAGCACACATTTCATTTTGGAGGGTATTGTTGGTTAATATGCACAATGTACCCTAGCCTTGTTCCCTTGACCATTACTGTCAGATCACATCTTGTACATATAAGAGATTCTCAGTTATAACCTTAGAATGAGAGACAGTATGCTGTTAGACTGAAATCCTTTTGTTATGTAGTTACACCTAGGATTATGATGACAGAATCTTGCCATGTTTATGCAGAACATGTAACCATAGTCCTAAGCTTAACCCTTAGCATTGTGGAATTTCACTGGGACAAAAGCCAAAATGATCAACCCACATTAACAACATGCCTTTTTCAAGGATTAACCCTCCACTTTGATCCTAATTTTTTGGAAGGTACTAGAAAAAGTATCCAAAATCCAGTGATTCATGCCCTAATATTAAGGTCCTAGTTGTAAGGTCTATACCTAGTCCTTATTCTGAAAATTGCAATATGGAAGGAGTAAAGGATAACTATTAACCTATGATAGACTGATGTGCTCTATTTTTTTTTTATAATTTTCTTTCTTTTTTTTTGTTTTTAAAGAACAGTCCTTTTTTTATAATTATTTATTTAATTGTATTTAGTCACTCATTTAATTTGACCAGAGAGAGACACAGAGGAGAAAAGAGAGAGGGAAAGTGAGAAAGGAAGCCACCAGGTCCAGGACTCGAACCATGGTCGGCCATGTGGGAGTGTCTAGCGCCTTAACCACCATGCCACCTGCTGGTCTCCAATGTGCTCTATATTTTAAGAAGCATTTGGAGAACCACCAGAACTGTAAATTCATGATGAGAAAGGGTGCATCAAACACTATAGCCTTCTTAGAGTTCTATTTGAGCCTCACTGGTTAGAAATTTCTGGGCAGAACGAGGGAAATGCTTCTTTAACAGCATTTATGAAGGATCTTTTCATGCCTTGCTTCAAAGATAATGAGATTCAAGTTTTAACATCTATATAATGTTTCACAGGGCCCGTGTAGACATTTAATGTGCTAACTCTAAATTCTTTTCTTTGCTATTATGCCAATAGCACTTTCATCTATAACCTCCTTATTTGTGTGACTTCGTGGAAGCCTTTCTTCCAGGACTTTGCAGATCACTTAAACAGAAGTGGTAATCCACACATTACAATGCCAAATGAAGCCTAAATTCTATTGGTGAGAACTTGCTTATATGATAGTCTGTAAGCAAATTAGTCCTAATAACTGGTTTTAGGTTTCCCTTCTTGTCAATGTTCCAGCACCCAAAACAGGAATTTGACATTCTCTGGTAGGGAATTAATATGTACTCTTTACCTCCTATCAATAATAACCACTACCTGGAGTAGCTGCATATGATCAGTTCTTATCTATATAAGGGACAGAGGCTATAATACGTTTGTCTGACTTCATAAGCACATTTTTCTGGGATACTCACCTAAGGCATTTTATTTGCTTATAGAATAGGGTCTACACACACACACACACACACACACATACAGAGAGAGAGAGAGAGAAAGAGAGGCAGGCAGACATAGTACTAAAAACATAAAAATAAAAGAATAGAGTCTATAAATGGGTTAAACTTTGGCTTGCTGGAATGACTGTCTTCTACTCTGGCCCAGGGATCTCTGGCAGAGCAGATGTGCAATAAATATCAGTTGCCACATGACCTTACTTTTATAAAGACTATGCAATTACCCTTATGAAGAAGAAAGACTCTTCAGAGGCAAGAAATGGAAACGTCGCTGTTGGGGTATCTATGACCACAAAATGGGTCTAGCACCTTAAATGGTCTCTGTTTACACTTGAAGAAATTAAATAACCAGTATGAAATCCACTCATAAGCTTCATTTCAGAATCTTTTTCTACATTAAGACATTTGTCATTGCAGGATGAAACTGTTGCTTGCATAACTACAACCATTGATACTGCAGTAGAACCAGAAGCTGTAAGTAATTGGCCCTTTGTGTAGAACCAGGAGCTCTAACTATGCCATTTCCTATCATTTATAACTTACCTGAAGAAGAGAATCTGTGATTACTACTATCCTATATAGAGTGCCCTAGAAATTCAGAATCCTCTAATATAAATCTGTTTCACAAAATCTGTAACTTGCAAAGGCTCTATGTCTAATAGTATAACGAGTAATGGGTGTCAAGACTTTTCAGGGATGTCATATTTCATATTTGTAATCTGACTTACTGATTTTTTGTCAGATACTAGTATTCTACATCACCTGTCCAGCAAATTAAAATAAGAAGAACAAATTAGGAAACTATAGAAAAGCCAAAAGCATTAGAGGAGAAATGGAAGAATTTTTTCAGCATCCTTTTCTGTGGTTGTGATGAGTAGGGGCTCAGAGAACCAAGAAAAATTTGAAGTGTTCAGACCACAAGGATAGATAAAATATTAGATGTTGAGTAAAGGTTATAGTCAGAATGAAAAGTCAGAATGAAAAGCTGGATAATGGTTTGCTTGAGACAGCCTTTCCCCCCCTCCCCCTGCAGATGAATATATGCCACTAGTTTACATGTTTTGAAAGAAGGAAAATATGAGATAAATCAGATATTAAAGGTCAACTGTGTGAGAATAAATGAATCCTTTTCTTCATTTCTACCATTCCTAAAGTGTCATGTCCAGGACTTTTTCTCCAAAGGATACCTTGGAAGGAGGTAAAAGTAAAAAATCTTGGCCAGATCAATAAAAGAAATAGCAAGAAACTAGTTCACTCTGAAAGAGTTAGTTAAAATACATAAGAAATAAGATGCTTGTGAAAACAGGGAAATAGGCTAACTGTTTACCTCCGATGTTTAAAATAAATGTGTGAGAAGCCTCGGTTTTAAATGCAAAGGTATTGTTAATGGAGATATGTCTGTGAAATTTGCTGATGTAGTGCCTAAGGAACTCTAATAGCTTGTTTTGCTTACACATCATTACCCTGATTTTTTTCCAGCAAGTAGAAATGAGTCCAGAGACTAGCAGGTCTTCTGATGCTTTCACCACTCAGCATGCTTTACGTCAAGCTCAAATGTCTAAGGAGCTAGTTGAGTTAAATAAAGCCCTTGCACTGAAAGAGGCCCTGGCTAGGAAGATGACTCAAAATGACAGCCAACTACAGCCTATTCAGTTCCAGTACCAGGTAAACTATGTTCTAGGGTAGCATTTGTTCATAACTGTTATCTCTTTTTAACTAAATGGGAAGAAAGCAAGCACATCATTTTTTATGACAAAAAGACAACATAATGTGCAGAGTACAACTGGAGTTTTGTTTGTTTGTTTGTTTGTTTGTTTGTTTTTTAAAGCATACGTTAAGGGGGCCAGGCAGTGGCACTGTGGTAACAACTGGTTCTGCAGGGGAACGGTCCTAGGTTCTTGTCCTGGTATCTCGCTGAGCATACTGGGTGCATACACATACCTGTGATCTGGGTCACCTGAAACTGGGAGTAGATAATGGTATGAAAACCCTGTTAGAAGTGTTTATCTCTCTGTCTCTCTCAAGGAAGAAATAAATGAATAATTTTAACAAATAGTTTGATAATGTTATATAAATGTAGTCCCTATTCATACAGAAATTACATTCTAATAACTATGCTTGGATTCTGAGAAAGGCACATCTCTTAGTTGATGGTTTGGGTTGTAGTGTGAATTATAAAGAGACCAGTAGTGGATATCACATGATGTGACAAATGGCTAACCTTTTCCTAATAGTAGTTCTATGTGGCCCTCGCTGATTAGTAACCAGGTCTTTACTTAAAGGCAAGTCTTTGGTTTTCAGGTGATCCATAAGAAATGACCCTTGCTCTAGACCTTATTTTCCCTTGTAGTCCAATATTTGATCACTGACAAAGGGATGTTAGGATGGGTTATAGGCAGAAGGGTGGATTGTTTTTCCATCCAGCTATATCCTACCCAAGGTACTATTTGCTTATATTGAGAAATACCTATCAACACTCATGCTTTTTACCACCTGCTCCCCTACATTTTCAAGATAAAAATAAGAAAAGTGTTTTTCCTAATTAGTTTTCATCCTTTTTCTCCCCCTAGGCTAGAAAGAATTTACTGTTGCTTCCAAAATAAATAACTGAGTTGCCAATAGAGGTCCCCCCCCCCCCTTTTTTTATTTTTTTTTTACACTTCTCCTCTTCCCCCCCCCCCCCCTTTTTATTAGTCTTATTTAACTATCTCTCTCTGTCTGTCTGGCGAGCGCATGCGCCCTATAGGAAAAAAAACCTCTTCAAAAAAAAAAAAAAACTGACTAGCCCAAGAAAAATTCATGATATAGAAATCCCTGTTGGCTTAAATATGAATGGATATCCAAGGATCACTAGAAATTTGAGGAAAGCTTCTTATATGAGAGATCAAAGCAAACACACTAAAGAAAGGGAATTTGAAGGAAACAGAGGCAAGGCAGGGAGAAGAAAACCTCAACAAAATATATTTCTTATCCCTGGATAGGTGGTACATCTATTAAAAAATAAATTTTAAAAAAAGCTGTAAAAAGGAATAATTAGATGATCAAAAAGAAATCTTTGAAATTAATAGGCAAATAAAAAAAATCACCAGGAGTGGAAACAAATCTCTCAGAGAGTAGAATTAAAAGAGAGAGAAGCCAAACAATGGTAGCACATGTTTGTAGGTGCTGTTTTGACAGGCTGAGTCCACATGGTAGGCCAGGATTTGAATTCGAACCCACTCTAAAAGCCAGGCACAGTAGTGTGTACCTATTGTTCTAGCTACCTGGGAGGCTGAGGTAGGAAGACTGCAACACAGACCCTGACTAAAGAAAAGAAAGAAAGAAAAAAAGACAAATAGAAAATAGGAGGGAGGAGATAAGAAAAGCAGAAACTTGATCTAGATGATCCAGTATCTGATTATGAGTCATATAAGAAATAGAAAAAGAAAATGCAATGAAGTGGCATTTTCAAATAAATGACAGAAGAAAACTTCCTAGAAAAGAATATAAATTTCTAGATCAAAAAAGACCGACCAAGCCCTGAGCACAATAAATGAAAAAAGATACAAACAAACATACATGCACTGGGGACAAAGAAAAGATCCTGAAAGTTTCCAAAGGGGAAAAAATAAAAAACACCAAATACAAAGAATCCAGAATGAGAATAGACTTCTCAATGGCTATCGTGGAAAAACAATGGAGTATGACCTTCAAAACTCTGATGAAAATAAATTTCTGGGGAACCAGCAGTTAGCGTAATGGCTATGTCGCTGGACTCCCACGTAGTCGACCGCGGTTCGCGTCTCGGACCCGGTGGCTTAAATCTCACGCCGGGCGCGTGTGCGTGCGTGCCCAAGATCCCGAGAGGAGAATGGAGGAGAAGGGATTGCGGCGTGACCATCCCCCCTGGGGGGTGATTTCTCGCTTTCTGTCTCTATGTCTCTGTCTGTCTGGCGAGCGCACGCGCCCTATAGCGAAAACCTCTCCAAAAATAAATAAATAAATAAATAAATAAATAAATTTCTGTAGAATTGTAAATCTGGCCACACTGAGTAAGTGTGAGAATGAAGAAAAGCCATTTATTTTCAGACAAACAAAGCTTTAAAACATTTTCCTTTTATGAACGCTTTCTCAGAAAGTGACTGAAATCATATTATATCAGGTCAAAGGATTATCCCAAGAAGAGGAAGATATGGAATCTATTTTAACACACAGATAAGACATGAAGTGAATTCCTAGGAGGATGATCTCAGGTTAATAGCTGGGCAGTAGGCCTGGAGAAAAACAAACAAGTAAGAAAATTCTAAGAGGGCTGCTTTGAAAGAAATGGATCAATAAACTACCTGTCATGCTTGATCCTAGTAAGAGGAGTTTCATAGCTTTATCAAGAAGTTTGGATATAAAAATTATTGATAGGTATGTAGAAGACTAAGTAAACAAAAAAATGAGATTTTCTTTTCTTTTTTTTTTTTTTTTTTTTTTTTTAAGAGGTGTTTTTTGTTTTTTTTGTTTTTTTTTTTTTTTTTTAAGAGAGATTTTTGGCCATAAGGCATGTGTGTTTGCCAGGGAGACAGTGAGAAATCACATTTTTTTTTCTTTTGGAGAGGTTTTTGCTATAGGGCATGTGCGCTTGCCAGAAAGACAGAGAGAGACAGAGATAAAAAGCGAGAAATTGCCCCCCCCCAGGGGGGGATCGCCACGCCGCAGTCTCTTCTCCTCCATTCTCCTCTCGGGATCTTGAGCACACACGTGCCCGGCGTGAGTTTAAGCCACTGGGTCTGGGACTCGAACTGCAGTTGACTACATGTAAGTCCAGCGACATAGCCATTATGCTAACTGCTGGTCCCAGGCTAATCAGTTTTTAATAAATCATTCTCCTGCCTGGGTTGTGTAGACAGAGTGGTAGTTTGTCATCGTCCTAGTAACCCACAGAAGATAAGGGAGTTAGAGTTTCTCCAGGCACATACAGACTTTTACTTAATCCCTATCAGTAGTATGGTACATCATCCCAGCTTTCAGCTATGTCTGTTGGCTGTAAGACCAGTCTGTCAGGTTCAGTGTCTCTAGAAAGGAAGCCTTTCCTTCTCTCTCTGGTTCTGTGGTATAAATGGGCTTACTGTTTCTTGGCATTGTCCTGTAGGAGTTATGTTGTAGCATTTGCCACTGTGAAAATCAGTTACCACTTACCCATATGCTTTCATCTTCCAAAAGTCTGTTGATATCTCTTGACTGCTTTCCTATTCTCTCTTCATTCTTGTTAATTGGGTCATTTGTTTTTGTTTGGGTCACTTAGTAAGCATTCAGGAGTTAAATATGTAGCTCAGTCAATCAAGTTAGCAGGACATACGGTACAGCCTTTTTTAGGTCAAATGTATTCTGGCTTTTCCCGGATAAACAAAGGATTACTGGTAAGGCTGAAAAATTATTCTTTTCTTATACTCTTACCTGGAAACATGGGGACATGTCTTTTCACAGTGTATTTCTAACTATATAAAGAGCTGAAGGTATCTAGTTCTTTTCCCCTTAAAATCAAATATGTTTGAGCTCCCAAAACTAAAAGATAAGAAATAAATCCATTATGGAACCAGTACCTTTTAATGACATATAAATCATGACCTCTCTTTTTCTCCTCAATAAAGGAGTTTTCCATTCTAAATGGTAATTTTCCTATCACTGTGAAGAATTGCCATCGAGGGGGACCAGCAGTTAGCGTAATGGCTATGTCGCTGGACTCCCATATAGTTGACCGCGGTTCGCGTCCCGGACCCGGTGGCTTAAAACTCACGCCAGGCGCGTGTGCATGTGTGCCCAAGACCCCGAGAGGAGAACGGAGAAGATGGGATTGCAGCGTGGCCATCCCCCCTAGGGTGTGATTTCTCGCTTTCTGTCTCTCTGTCTCTCTCTGTCAGGCGAGCGCACATGCCCTATAGCAAAAACCTCTCCAAAAAAGAAAGAAAGAAAGAAAGAAAGAAAGAATTGCCATAAAAACATTAGAGGAGGTTTAGGTTCTGATTAATGAAGATTACCATGAGTTGTAGTAAAACTAGGGCTCAAATATTTTAATAATTCACTCTATGGAGTTAGTGAAACAATTATTGACTGTGGCATATATAACAAAGAGGTACTATTTTTTTGTCATCAGATTGATAACAATTTTGAAGTATAGTAATATTTTGACCATGGTACAGGGAAATAACTGCTCTCATACATAACTGGTGAGAAGAAATTGGAATAACCACTTTGGATGACCATTTGGCAATATCTGACAAAATTGCGAATGCATACACTCTTGACTCTATAACTCTACTTCTCCCTACCCTGGTAAAACCTTGTACATATTCACAGAAGCATATGCAAGAGTATTTCATTACAGAAACAAAAAAGAATGAGGCAGATCTATAGGGACAGATATAAGTAAATTTCCAAGACCAAGTAAGTAAAAGTAGAAAAGATGCCGAATAATATATGAGGTTAAGATCATGAAAAAATTAAATTAAAGTGAGTTTATTTTGGTATTGAGTACTTTTGAAATCCATGCATAATTTTTTAATTATATATTTTTCTTGTATTTTTAAAAATCTCTTATAAGTGTAATTACTCATAGTGAAATTTGATTTATGTTTAACACAAATTTTTATTGGAACACACATACATGTACATGTTTGTGTATGTATACTATATATATTTTATATATCCTAGACATTTACATATACATCTATAATATATGTTATACCTATGTTTTTATATGTTTAATAAATGTATTTAATAAATATATCTGTATGTATTTTTTTAGGAGAAATATTTTCTGTAAGGCAAATGCACTTGCCCCAGAGACAAAAAGGGAGAAATCAACCTCCAGGGTGTTGCCCATGTCACAATCCCTTCTCTTTCATTCTCTTGGGATCTTGGGCATGTACATATACATGCCCAGTGTGAGTTTTAAGCCGCCCAGTCCAGGACATGAACCACAGTTGACTATGTGGGAGTCTAGCAATGTAACCATTATGCCATCTGCTGGTACCCCCATATATATTTTAAATATGTAAGTGTTGCAGTCATGATTCAAATCCAGGCCTTTGGATTCCAGGTTCTTTCTTTTTTTTTTTTTTTTTTTGAGGGGTTTTTTTCGCTATAGGTCATGCTCACTCGCCAGACA